TCCGTAGTAGGCCGTAGAAAAGGCCCACTTAATTACGACTTAAACCCCTGGGAGGTCCCAACCTTGTCAAAACTACGGTCAAACCATGCGCCACTTGACTGCTTTTAACCTTTTAGGGATAAGATGAAGGTTTCCGTATGAAAAGCTACCACGAGGAACCTGTCGTACCTACTTCGTCAGCATCGTAACCAAGGTAGGCATAGCTTGTGCCTTATATATATATATATACATTCTTCAACCTTAAGGATACAGGTACGTACATACGTCATAGCTGACTTGGCGATGGTTCGCAGGCGTTCGACTGACAAATTTCCAAGCAACGCCTCAGCGCGCTCGACTTGTCCTCTTTTACTGAACCGACGTCGTGCACGGTTTGCTACTTCTTAACCTCACTTTTTTTTTCGCATCCCGGAATTAGGTACGCGGGTCCCTGACGTTTGCGAACGGAAGGACAAATCAAAATCAAATCCTCAAAGATACCTTGATCACCGGACTCGCGCTATTACGGCCGAGTGACGATGTTTTTTTTTTGCGCAGGTGCATTCGCTCGCCCGCGAGTGAGTTGTTTCGTTCGGGGCCACCCTGTATACAGTAGAAGCTGCGTGATAGAGGAAAGGGATTTTAAATTCCCGTAAAAATGACTGTTTTGCCTCGTTGCCGGAATCGCTTTATTTTTTTCGATTCCTCTATTTCCAGGACACCACGCTCCAAGAGGTTCTTACCGTCAAAACGTCGGCGTTATTATTTCCGCTGCGACGCTTCAGATAATTCGCAAAGTTATTCGTGCCCGGAGGCCCTCGGGGCATTGGTGCCGGTAATTCACCTTAATTCGGGTGGCCTTGTACAACGCGCGGCATTGTCCGATGCCGAAATAATGCCTGTAACTTCGATTTAATTATACTTTGCATCCGCGTGGCCTTAGGCCATTTTCTACGAGTGTCCCGAGTATCGGATATTACAGTACTCGCGAGTCTTAACCGCGGCGATGTAAACAATACTAAGAGCGAACGAGAATGGAGTTTACCTTAGTCAGTGGCAAGTAGACGACAATTGAGGTAACTGCCGAAAAATTTTGGAAGGAACAAATAGGTTACACGAAACGAGACCGGAGGTAATTTTTGATCCGGTAGGAAAACCAAGGTCTTCTGAACTGGCCGGTAATGTCGTTATTGTTCGGTAGCAAAGATATGGAGTAGGACGAAGAGGAGGTAGAAGAAACAGAAGAAAAGAAACCTCCACAAAACCTCCTACTGTTTATATATATATTGAGGTATATACATGGAGTACGTATATTATATACGTAGCGAGCTCCCCGGCGTAGCCGAGTAGCAATTACAGGTGAGTGAGGTCAGTGTTAATACGACACTTGCGTGAGAGACAAGTTCCAAAAATGACATGGTTCGCGGCCGGTGCGCCGGTGTTTTCTTGCGTAACCTTTTGCACAATACGCACGATATCTTCACGTCGGCAAAGGTCCCGCAGTAAAGAATATTAATTTCGTACATTATGTGCTGGGCAGAGACAGCATTTGCCGTATTAGTGCCCACGGTCGTTATAATAATAGGTTTTGTTCTAGGTACAGCCGAGGTCGCTAAATTGCAGCCGAGCTAATTATGTACACGAATTATTAAATATCGCCTTAACATACGAAATTCTACACGTGAGGGGCAGGACGAAGATTTGGAAATAAAATAATTAGCGCGCACGCACGCTGGTCCGGGTGCTATGGATTTTTAGTTGAAATCATAGATTCTAATGTAACCGTCTAAGGTCACGGGGATCAGCTTCGATACTGAATGCTGTGGGATATTAAATATGGACGGAGAACACTCTCAGCACGCAAAACTCTCAGCACGCGATTTTACATGACACAGGTGTATTGCAATTTTAATGAAGTGATAATTTATCTTGCGTTTATGGTTACGTAATAATAGTTTTCTAAGCTTCATCATTTTTCAAGACTATCGGGTACCTGAGATAGTCCTTCGTCTGGCATCAGACTCCGACATTCTGGGCTCGCTGAACGATCTTGCTCGACTGTCGTTTGCTGCGATTTGATCACGATTTGTTGCACTTCGTTCATGTGTTCAAGAAAATATAAATTTTGTACAAATACACAAGACACAGATACCAATTAGTCGTTGACCCATGATGAGCAATCGAGTTCGTCACTTAACACTCAAAGTTCCAGGCACTTCCGGTCTCAGATTAAAATTCGTACGAATATCCGTCCCATACAAAAGTACCAATTCACATGTTGAAAGATTCTCATAAACATAAATAATCCACGAGTCCGTCGCGTCTACCAGCAATCCACTCGTCCACCAAAGTCACAAACTCACAACGAACCGTTATCAATGAAAAGTTGTGAAAAAATCTTTATCCTTGTATATCTTCATAGCGACCCTCGAAGATTACAGGATTACACCGTTTGCCTGCCGTTGCGTAAAGTCAACATCGTGGCTTTCCATTTGCCGCCTGGGCGCACGCGAGATCCGTCAAGGCGTTGTTCCTCCAGAAATCGTGTCGTCGCTCTTACGCGTCTACGTGACCAGGCGCGTCCCATTGGAACATTCGAAAGCCGTGAAGTCCAGGAGGCGATCCGGATCCGATATAGGGCCTAAGCGAAGGGGTTGATCGCGAGCGGAACGTCGACTACCTGGGTCGGCGGGTTCTCGGGAGGATCGCGCGAATGGCTAGTGACAGTGGCGAGGAGGATAAGAGAGGAAACCACGCGACTCTCCGGGTGCCGCAAGGAGAATCAGAAGTCTGCTTGGATGGTTGGTAGGGGCCATGTCCTTCCTATTGGTGCTTTGATTCAGCTGTTCCTTTTCGTCGACGCATAAGAGCGTACGCGCACGGACAATCCGCATGGTCAAATTACGTCATGCCCAGTTCAACGAGGAGTGGACGTAGGTAAACTTTCCGGCTGGGTCATTATCACGATCTTTCATAGATGAAAGTACGCACGGTGTATCCAAGTCGAGCCGGTACCAGGATATAGGCAGTGAAGCACGTGTTAAGACGCAGCACGTGCGATGAGACGCATAAAATCGATGCTTCGAATCTTCTTTCGTTCCGATGCGACGACCAGGGGCAAGGTCATGTTGAATAGGTTGGTACCGCTTGGAGATTCTTGGCCGTTTCGGAAACCGAGCACCTAACCGCATCGGAACATTACGCGGCTACGAGACCAACCTATAGAGGAGCACTTAAGTCGTGTGCGAGAACGCTCGAATGGGCCAACAACGTCACTTCAGCCTCGGGTTATGGTTTCTCAACTGGTACCTCTGGCTACGCGGTGCGACGCTTTAAAGCGATAAAAGTCGGAAAAATAACTCGGCTACTTTCACTCCTCGAAACTGAATACAGTTCTGTATGTTGAAAATGTTGATTTACGTTTCGCGTATTCTTGGTACGCTGGTTAGGCCTGCCCTTTAGTTCCCGAGGGATACAAAGAATCGTGAGGTTGCAAATAATCCAATTCTGGTTTCCACGTCTAGAAAATCCATGGGTGCTTCGATTTAATCGCCATCATCTTACCAGAGACTGGTTTACCCGAGTGGTAGGCACCCCATGGGTGGCCATGGAGTTTTTTGTCATCCTAGAGTAGACTAAGGTAAGACCAAGGATACTGCGCAACGGGACGTTTCGCGTGGAAAACTCGCTGGTAAATCAAGCTGAATTCCTCACGAGGCCTCCGATCACGCTGGATTACGGAACGGCGTAAGTAATTATAAGTGGTAATTACAATCAGCGACGCCCCGTAAAAATCTATTGCGTAAGCGAGAAACGGCAAAACGACGCACAGTCTGCGGTCACGGCGGCAGACTGTTTCTAAAAGGACAGGTAATAGTCCTATCTGATTGCGGTTCGCCGATACTTAGCTACACCTATATAAGGTGTGACGTGTGCTTTAAACACGGCAGCGCATTTGCAGGGCCAGAGGCCAAGGCGGTATATAATGTACTAGGATCATGTAAATTTACATCTTAAATAACAATGCACTGCATCGACAAGTTAAAACTGATCAGCGCGCCAAAGACTCGAAACTTCGATTACGAAAATTTGTCAAGAGTACATACGTATGCTCTGCATAGATTTCATCAATTTAAACTGTTTTTCTCGTTCTTTGAATTACGCTGTCAATTACAATTGGTTCAAGTATTTCATACAGAATTTCATGCGTCTCGTTGACGTAGTCGTAAACCAAAGTGGTTCCGGTCAGAATTTCATAGTAATACTCAAATAATAATACCGATCTACTGTTTAATGGGCAATTATTATTATTATCATTACCGTCCCAATTCTCTGTCAGACAACCTTTCGCTGATCGTTACGCGTTTCAGTTTCTCATAATTTAACTACAACCGTCATATAGCTTAAAGGCTGTTCTCGCTTATCTACGTTATCGGATCAGCGGTAGATCGTTAAGTTTTTCCAGGTCCGCCCGACATAATCAAAAGGTTCGCATGAGCGAGAACCCAAGGTAAAAGCGTCGTGGCGCTTTTAGCAGGAGAGATAATTTTTCGCGCGTCGGCAAAGTTACACATTGCAACGACTCGTTATATTAAGACACGGTTACGACGGATAATTGTTGGCTGTCCGAGATCAGCTGGAGCTTCGTCGTGGCTGGGGTAGTACTGTAGTTGCCGTTGTAAATAACAAATGTCCCGTTTATGGATCGTAAACGCCGCTCTAACTACGCTGGCTATCCGTTCTCAGAGGGACTCCAATACTGCGTTTCCTACTTCGTATATCACGCAGCCGTATCACACAGCTCCTTGAACCCTTCATTAGAAGATTCGCGAAAAAGCATCCCAACGATCGGCAGGCGCAAGGGAGCCTGGGGCAGCGACAGACCGTGTGGCAGACGATAATAATCGCCACGTGTATTTCACGCTGTATACATACGTTCTATGTACATAGAGATTTCCTGGACACAGGACCAGCGAGTGGATAGGCCGGAACAAATAGTAGCGAAAAAAAAAAAGACGTACCTGGAAGGAGCGATGATGAGGGTGATGAGGATGATGGAATTGCGGTGTGTGAATCATGTCGCTGGATTCAAGTTCCTTTTCCGACGATAAATTAGGACTGTCCTTGTCCTCTGAGGAAGACACCGCTGAATCTTCCTCTCCAGTTTCCGAAGTCTCAGGAGTGACCTGGGCTGCCTTCTCCTTCGTCTTCTCTAGGTCCTTCTTGGTCTCCTGAAAGATTGATCTCAGCGTGAGGATACGGAACCTTAATGCAGCCACTGTCTTGGATAGCGGACTGACCTCTGCTGTCTCAGGCTCATCGAGCCCAACCAGCTCCAAAGCCTCCTCGAGGCTAAAACCGTCAGGTAGACCTAGGGAGTCGTTGCTCAAGAGAGCCTCGACACCAGTTGCTCCTAGGAGACTACCCCCGAGTAGATCCGATGCGAAGTCATTCCCCAATCCTAGAGTAACGTTCAGGCCCAAGGTGTCTTCTGCGAGTCCTGCGAGCGTTTGGTTGTCCAAGCCCAGGGCAGCCTCCTGCAGGAGGTCTTGGCTGTCCTCGCTTTCGTTCTGAGTTCCGGATAGGATGTACTCGCCTGGAAATCAATGCAGAATCATCGTTATGTTAGGCTCCTTCACAGCGGACACTTTTTTTATTGACTTCGATTAATGGGCGGATCTTGCTCGAATGATTTCTTCGCTTTGCGAGTCTGCAGTGATGGCTGCTGGTCGTAATTTAACGAACGGAGCTATGTTGACTGAGCGACTGTGACGTCTCTTCCGCCAAGAGAAGATCAGATTCAAGCCCGTTAAGGTCGTAATTATTAAGGTAATTGCATACCGAAGTCGCCGCTAATTGTCTCCTTACATCCCGTATATTTCAGAACCTATATCGTGGTATGACTATCCTCTCAAGCAGCCTTGATTTAGTCTTGAACCGGCTCTACCTAAATGTCTGTACCTTGTTAAATGTCAGCCATCTTCAAATGGCATCGCTAAATGATCCTTGAATCCGGTCTTATCGATGACACTAGGTGGTACACGGGAATCGTATCTCTGATTGACACTTCGTAGTGGGGATGCATTATTGAAGTTTTATGTTCCTCGTCGGCATCACCGATCTACACTGGTCATATTTACAACTGATTTCACACTGCTTCACTACCGAACAATATATATCGATTGGTCTCTTTCAATAGAAACGCGGGACTTTTGAATATTCGCAGACTCACGGTTCCAACCGGTACACGTACTTATGCACGTGATATTTATTTGTAGAAGACGCGCAACATTTTCACGGAATGTGAAAAACGGCTCCGTTCCTTCTCGGACGCGCCACTTGAAAGCTGACTGGGAGCTACAGGCAGGTAAAATTTTCGGTGGAGGGGAGTCGTGAAAAAAAGAAACGTAACTAATTGCGGGACAAAGAGGGTGTTGTTGAAGATCCACCTGCTGCCTCTAGCAACCCCCGAGGTTCCCGCCCTCCGACCAATCGTCTTATTCGATCTGATCCCTACTCCATCCCTTGCGCGGACACCAAACGCTACCCGGATAATGCATTCGTGCAATGCTCCATAGAATGACTATCGGAGTCATTTCGCTTATACGAAATCATTAAAAATATATATATATATATATACTACAAAACTATTTAATTTTTTAAAAAGAACTTTACCAAGGTAAATAGATTATCGTTTCGTGTCTTCTTGAATGAGACTGGTTTAGTGAATTTCTTAGTGTCCCATTCGTAAGGGATGATACGAAGTCAAAAAGATGTCCGGGCTAGACAAGGCCCTGGACCTGGTGGTTCGTTCGGAAAAGAAAGCGGCGCCGGGGATATTTCGAGGGTAGGCTTTTCTCAGCACTCTCGGGGATGTTATTAGAGATAATAATCTCATGAAATAATAATTCTCGCTCTACCTACAGTCTCGAGACCTGGACTGAACTACGACTGGGTTATCCCGAGGGTGTTTCGAGGATGAGAAGGGCGGCTTTTCGTTCTGCGGCTGACTTTGAGTGCGGCCAGCAGAGAAAGGTCGCACCTTTCGGACGTCTATTACATTAACAAGTGGTGGCAGCCATTGTCTGGCCCAAATGCGAGCCCAACCGCACAATAATGGCTGCCGTAATTTGGAGGAACTCTGGCCGCCCTATACTATCCGGAATGGAGGCCACCCTTCTGCACGGGAAGTTACGAAAAAATTCGACCCTCTCAAAAATGTCTCGAATACTCGAAAGAAAAAGAATTTCCAAACGGAAAGCTAATTCTCGTACGTCTGAGCACTTGGTTATCGTGATCTCGACATTTGAATGGAGTTTTCATATTGTACAAAGTAAGAAGGAACATGGATACGTAAGTCCAGAACGATGATTCAACGATTGCGCGATGATCTGAACAGTTTTTTTTTTTAAATCGAAGAAAAAAAAAGTTATTGCATGACCGATCGTCAGGTTTTTATTTACTTTTGTGAGGTTCCTCGGAAAAAGTATCTGAGGAATATTCCAAGGACCTTGTAATTACGTGAGAAAGAAATTTTTCTTTATATTCGACGATTATACTTGTTTACGTACACAAGATACGAATTAATGTATTTTAAGTCTAAAGATATGCCGATTTACCAAGATCTGCTACGTTTTATTTTTTTGGAGCTACATCGAAATTCAATTGGGATTTTGGAATGCGATGCTTGTGTTTCACGTGAAACGTCATAATTCAGTGTCACCATTGGCACTGTGTCATTAATCATATCGAAGATAAAGAGCAACCCCTACAAGCCTAAAGGACCGTGTGCCCACATTGGCCAGCTACCCTCTCCGGCCGGGCATCGATATCTTCTCGTGTTTCTGATTCAAACACGAGCTAGATACGCGGGACATGTACGTATAATATTCCAGGAGCAGAGTAGGTGGAAATACTGATGATCCTAGAGCAGGATATCTATTTGAAATAATCACAATGCTAGGAGTGTCAACGATAGATACAACGATAAACTGGTACCAAAACAGTTCAGACTGTCTATACTGAATTGGATTCTAGTTCGAAGATAAATTCTCTTTTTTTTATTATCAAAAACCTACAGGTATTAGAATTTCAAAATTTATCTCACGACAGATCGCCATAACCCAGTATGGTAAAAAGAATTTTTTCAAATTACAGACCATATACACCCGTCGCTTAGAAGTTATACAAGGGTTTTCCAGGGGATGATTTTTCCCTGCAAGAAAATTCTGATCCTCCAGGGTACGAATTATTCAGTGGGATTGTTCAAATTCGCAAGATCACGCCACCGGTCTGTACCTATCGGCACGGTCGGTATAGCTACCTACCTCTAGCGGAATAATGCGAGAATCTCTTTCAATTCCACGGTCCCTTTGAACTTGCCTAGGATCACTTCCTAGACTACGGAATTCTGACAGATCATTTTTCATATTTCGCCCGGTCGACTCGGCTTAATGACGCTTCCTGATAATAATTCCTACGTTACACGGCAGAATTTCTTCGCCTTCTTTCCTCTCTCTCTCTCTCTCTCTCTCTCTCTCATTCTGTTCTCTTTTCCCGGCAGCGGCTACGCGAACCGTAGGTATCCATTTTCCCCTATGTTATACAGGAGCACGAATGGAGTCGTGGAAGCTCGTAAAGTCAGACGGTATTGTCCTATCGAGTGACAAATATATCGGAGCCAATTTTATTTGCGTTCCCTAGCTCTTAACAAAGGGTGGAAATGCACGACAATACGGGAACGTGGTTTGACATCTTATTTTTACGGTTGACATAGATCGTGTGAATATTTCGTGCGCCGGTCACCTGGCAGTACTGGCTGCTTAAATCGTAATTGCTACCATTAATTTTAATTGTTGTATTGCTTGCTGTCAGCCCTTCCATTAAGCCTAGTTTAGTCCGAGTCGAGTCTGACGAGCTGCGCCAACGCGACGTTACGCCATCGCACGGTGTTCCTCGCGTTGCGCCTCACGATTATTGACGGAAATTCCGAGTTTCCTGGAGACGGGCGGTTCCCGGGAGCTTTTTTTCATTATATTCTTTAATCTAATACCCTTTTTCGTTTATAACATCTGTAATGTAAAGATGGCCACATCGCTGGACTTCGCATCCGACGTTCGCCGTTCATCGGATCAGAAATTAGGATACATAATTTCGATACCAAATTTTTTGTGGAAAATATCATTTTTGATAATATTTTTTTTTGACGACTCTACACGCAGAGTATGACAATCAATTCTACGGAAGTGTCATGTCAATTTGGATTAAAATATCGTTCGCTGAACATTTAACGCGATAGCGAATTTTGGGTGTTTCCAAATTTTCAAATTTATGTCATTAACGTTTTTCAAAGTTCAATCGACGTACCTTAGGAGGATTAATCCAAAGTGTAAGTAATCCCAAGTGATAGTGCGAAATGGACAGTAGATGAGCTCACAGTAATTATCACAGCACAATTTAATGTAAACTTGCAGATAGCAAATTTATTGCTTAAACGTTCTAACTGCTAATGTTCAATCCTCCCTTAAAACACTATTAACATTGTTCTAAACGAAAGAGTGTATCCAGCCCGATGTAAATCATTCCGCCGCACTCGGAAGTGACACTAAAAAATAAATGCATCTTCAAAGTACACAAGTCCCACGTCTTAGAAGGTATCTGGTTATTATCGTACGACACTACGGCTCTTCGCCGGCACAAGCGGATCCGTAATAACGAGAGGAATCTAAATAAATGAGACACGTCGAAGAAGAGAATATTTGTCCGATTTTACTTCCTCTCAAATCACAATCGACAAGGAATATTTTAATTGAACATCACTACAAGTATTCGAATTGAATATCATCACAGGAATATTGGTCATTCCGAAAACCCCGTATTACGAGGCCTCCTCAAATCTTCCAGTGGATCACAACACTCAGCACCGCCAGATGATTTCGAGGTGAGCGAAGCATGGAGTTGACTGATAGACTATCGCTTAGCCAGGGATTGCCTAACCGCAGCCAGCCAAGCATTGTCCGGAGACGCGGGCTTGCTGTTAAAAAACGGACCAATCACGTCGGGGTTGGCTGTTATTCCAATATGGCTGCCAGACAATGCGCGCAGGAGGACTGGAGGTTAGAGTGGGAAGGTCTCTACCCATAATGCCATTCTCCGGCTCCCTGCTGAGCAGGGAGCGTACCAAGGCCTGATGGCTCGACGTTGCCACACCGTAGGGATCAGGGATGCATCTTGGACAGGGTCGATGCCGCATTCGAATTACCCGGAGCTTGCACGGGGG